GAGTCGTGTGACCGCGGGTTTGAAAAAAAACATAAACTTAAAAAATATTATTTTTATCTATCCATCCATTWCTAAGCTGAACTCGCTGGGGGTGCAGTTGCATACCCTGCACCCCCCGTGCACACGCCTATGGAACGTATATTTTTTCCCTTGCGCTCACCGCGAGCCTCCGAGATGGTGGTTTTAATATTTCGCGTCATTTTTTTACCRGTAGAATTAAATGCACTAGTTACACGTTAGGCGGTTGCAGTGTTACTGCTTCGCGATAATTAATTAACTCGGAGGGTACGGAATCCGCTCGATCGGCCATTTATACGTTATCTATTCGCGGTGTATAGCAAGAGTCATAGTTTTAGCAGTATAAAACCGTGATAATTCATGATACTATCAAAAAACCGCGTTACAGAATCGGCGGATAGATGGCGCCACCGGCGGTGGTGAAATGCCACGGCGGCGTACGATAAGCGAGGCCACGTCGCCGACAGAACGCGGCGGCGAGGCTCGGGGGGTGGTGAAGCGGTGGTCGGCAAGACGCGGGCCCACGGTATCGCGCGATACACATGGAAGGAGGGTTGTCCCGGTGCCCCGGTGCCTATAGCAGCGCGCACACCAGATACGTTTCGTTTCGTTCCGTTACGGAGACGGTCGGAGACGTGATGTGACGTAACGTTAACGTCACGCACACTAGATACGTCTAGATTCCGTCCCAATAATCGTCAGCCAGTCGTCGTCAATCTGCATTTTACATTTTTGCTAGTGTATTTCTTCTGCTTAGTGTATTTTGTTGTGGTTTTTCTTTCATTAGTATTTTTTTTTAAATTAAATTTGTTATTACACCTATATTACAATTTTACCATGTACTTCTCATCCGACGAGGAACTATTTATAATGGCAAGTATTGCAGAGGATGAAGAGAAGGCGAAAAAAAACGGTTATGGGTTCATAACATCAACACAAAAAGAGATGAGCATGGAGAATTCCATACGTTATTTCCAGACCTCCTTCAAGATAAGTCAAAATTTTTTAAATATTTTAGAATGAGTTCGAACAAATTTTTTGATTTACTTGACATGCTGCCACAACAACAAAAGCAAGACACAAATTTCAGGCGCTGTATCCCACCAGATGAAAGATTGGCAATCACCCTAAAGTAAGTAAACATAATATATACATATAATATACATTCATAATTTAAAAAGAAATGGTTTATTACTGNTCCGTTGAGCCGTCCTTTCTTCCACCCTATCCACATCTTTTATTGAAAACAAACGTAAGTACATAAATACATTATAAATACATAATAATGAAGGGCTCTATCCCTTTTAATTTCACCTTCGGTGTACAACGTAAGATTACTTATCTAATGGTTAACTGCTTCTACTAAAACTTCTCTTTGGGCTTGCCTTTCTTCCTCTTCCTTTGTCCTCAAAACCTCGCCGACGAAGGCCTTCACCGCTTTCCAATTGCTTCTTGACCTTAACATTAATTTTATTACTGAGTCCACTTCGAAGTCTCCTCCTATTTTCGCTTCAAGGTCTCTTCTTTTATTCCACCACCTATCACACACAAAAATCGTGTGCTCAGCACTATCTTCCACAGCCTTGCAATCCACGCACTCCGGGCTCAGGCGTTTCTTGTACTTATACAAGTAGGAGCCGAAGCACCCATGTCCAGTTATCATTTGAGTGAGATGATAATCTGTATTACCAAATCCTCTTGTTGACCATTTCTCTACGTCCTGGATTAGTCTGTGCGTCCATCTGCCCTTTTTCGCTTGGTCGCATTCCTTTTGCCATTCTTTGTATGTGTTAACTCGATGATCCTGTTTGTTCATCTCTTTTCCTTCTTTGGTATGATTGTACAACTTCTGTCTCTCCTTCGCCAATAAATGAACCGGGATCATCCCTGCGACCACCATTATCGCCTGGGTTGATACCGTCGTCCGGTACGCCATGGCTACCCGTAGGGCGATTTGTCTTTGTGGTCCCAGCAGTGTGCTAACGTTAACCTCGTATCTTAGAGCTCCTGCCCAAATCTGTGCTCCATATAGCAGCTGGTTCTGAACCGTTGAAGCCATAATCCTCCTTTTGCATTGTCTGGCGCCTCTTACATTTGGTAAAATCCGCTGTAGGGCACTCGCAGTTTYCCCTRCCTTGACTGCTGCTGCTTGAATGTGCGTTCTATACCCAAGTTTTTTGCTCAGTTCTATTCCTAGGTACCTAAGACTCTCCTTTGGTTAAACTATGGTGCCGTTGAGTGTGAATATTGGTTCCTTGTACCCTCTTTTCTTTGTTAACATCACGCACTCTGTTTTGTCGACGTCCAATTTCAAGTCGTTCGCCTTCATTCGACTTCAGTACCTTAATCGATCAGAAAGTAAATCTAGTTGGTACTTTGGTGGTCAAAAGTAAAAAATTCTTATATACTTTTCTAAATAATCGGGATAAACAAACTAAAAATTAAGGGAAAAACGGGAAATTTTACGCACA